GACCACACCGATCACGCCTAGGACCACTTCACGGGCCCGTTCCACCACCGTAACACGATATTGTCCGCTTTGAGCCCCGACCATGCCCTCACATTTTTGTTTCTGGGAACTCATACGAGAACTTCCCAATGGGTCACCCATCCTAGGAGTGCTCTCGTGCACTACTCGCTTAACTTCGGAGTTCCCATGAAACCCAAAGCCAGTGAGCTCCCAAAAGGTCTCATGCTAGATAGGGATGAGAATATACATTTAAGGACCACTCCCTGGGCGATGTGGGATGTCACAGTCATCACTTAAGATTTTGCCAACGAAAAGTTGTCAAGGAAATTTGGTCCCACAAAGGGTGTCGCTGCAAATTTTGTTCGACGACTTTTTAATATTTGTTGTGCAAATAGTGCTCGCTCGATGATAATATTTTGTTGAATAAAGTGCGTTGACCAAGTTGGCCCGACGGACCAAACTCATGACGCCATTATTTCGTTGGGTTTTCATAAATAAAATATTTATATTATTTTGCTCGACAAAAATATTTCAACAATCAGTTTATTTTATTTTATTTTTTAAAATGTATTAATCTAAAAAAAATCACTACTAAAAAATTTATTTAATTCGATTAAAAAAATATTTGTACAAATGTATACAAGAAATCCTAAACTAACTACGAATATTGCAGTGGTTCGATGGATGGCAACTGAAAGTCACTCGGAAGATCGGGGAAGCGAATGACAAAGGTTGTCATTGCCTGGGCTATACAAGAAATGTATTGCTGAAACTGGTACTATTGCTGGTACGCAGGACTTTCTTGCTGGCTCGCTAACTCCATCTCCAGATGCGCTCCTTTATAAAAAATTACAAAGAAATAAGATTTTATTTAATAAAATAGAAGAAAAATGGATGAGAACCTAATTTTATTAAAAACAAAAAATTGGAATTAAAATAAAAAAAGACTTACTAGAAATGTCGAACTTTGAATATAAATGGAAATATTTTTGCTCATCATACTAAAGTGGTGCTAATACTCACCACCATATTTATCACAACTGAATGAGTTTAAATAGACGATCACCCAAAATAAATGGCAAATTGCCCTTTTATTGCAATGCTTCCAAAATAGGCAAGCCCAAAGTTCAGGCTAGTTTGTAGGCTGACCCAAAATGGGTTGAGGTAGGAATCGGCCTATCTGGCGTCATGCTAACGCCAGCATGACGTCAGCGGGCAACACAATTTTTTTTTTTTTGTTTTTGCGTCAGGCGTGTGGGAAACACGTGCGCATGGCTACGCGTCCCCGACAAGGTGACATGTGCTGGGCCCACTCTGCAGGCGCACTAAAAGGGCACGAGACGTGGGCCACGTGGCTAAACCTCTGTTGTTGGATTTCTGACGGCTAGTTTTCTGGGCCGTTGGATTTCCAATAGTAAAAAAAAATTTGAAATTCAAACCCAACGTCTAGTGACGTGACACAATCTGGACCGTTAGATTTTCAGATCAACGGTCCAAATTTTTTGACGAAAAAAATAAAAAAATAAAAAGTCAGAAATTAATAATATTTTTTAATAAATAAAATAAATGTCAGAAATTTAAAATATTTTTTTATTTTATTATAAAAAAATAATAATATTTTAATAAAATGGACAAGGCTATTTTGTTTTAGGATAGAGATGCATTTATCCAATTACTATTCATTGCAATCAATTATTATTTATTTGAATGAATTAAATGAACTTTAGGCTAGCTTATTTTTTAGGGATGGATTAAATGAAGTCTGCGATTTCCAATGATATGAATCCATAAGCTCATTGGTTGGGGCGCCCAAACTAATTAAAGAACTTTGGGAGGTTGGTGGTTCGAATTCGACTAGATCCGATTTGTTTTGAGCCCGTACTTGAATTATTTCGTAAATTGATAAGTTAACTTTAATTATTTTGTAAATTGATAAGTTTTTTTTTTTTTTTTTTTTTTTTTAACGATGAGATAATTTACACTAAAATTTATAGATTATGGATGATTAAAGTCATTTTCCTGTAATAGATGATGTTTTACCCTAGCGACGGGAATTATGCTTTTGAACTCTGGTGGAGATTCGATCCTCATCAATCTCTCTCTCTTCTTGCATTTAACATGTTAACCCACTGATGCTATTGCTTGTGAAAATTTTCCAATAGTTGTGTTGTGTTGTTGGTTTGCGTAAAGACACCCACCACTTATCGAATACGTCCACCACAAAGTGATGCCAACTCCCTGGGTTTACATTTCCTCCTCTATATTATTCACACTATTTGGTTCTATATCCAGATGGAACATTAATCTACCGAGAAAACTTCAGTGAAGTTGTATGACTAGGTGAAATTTGTGCAAGATTGGGTGACGTGGTTTGGGCACATTGTCATTCTTCTTATCTTTTCAATATTTTATTTCATTACTTTTGAAATTTTCATTCAGCTTGAGTTTGCAATAAAAGAACCGAAATACCTATTCAATTTGTCTATGTAACTTATCTGGAGGGAAGCTCAATTTACATAATTTGTGGTTTAGGTGGCATGTCTCAAATCTAGTACAAAAAAATTACCATACAAAGGTTGACGTAAACGTCATATTTCTCTTCCTATCTCTCTTCCCTGGTTCATATTCCCTTGCCGGGATATCTAGAGACTTGGAACCGCCAAGTTTTCGTAACAATGTAAATCTGGCGGTTCATTTCTCATCAATCCGTCAAGGTATGTGATCAATCCGCTTAAATTTATCCCTACGCTGCTTGTTCTTACCTGGCTACGTTTGTTGACTGATTTTCTCATATCGTTTTATCGGTAACTGTTGCTTTCAGTCGATTACCCGGTATTGTCCACTGGATCGGATTTGGTAGTTGACCCGGTTGTGATGATTACGATGGACGGTGAAGATGAATTTCCATATAATACAAGTATATAAGTCTGATGAAATTATGGATCTAGGCTGACCGAGGGATACAAGGAAAGAATCTGTGAAAAAAAAATGTGTGCGCTCTCGTTCTTTCTGTTTTATTTTTCTTGCATTTTGGTCTATGCTTGCATATCGTGCCAATTTCAATTAGCTTACATGGAGAAGGCGGATTCCGATTTGGCTTCACGGAGAGGTACTAACTTCAATTCGTTACTTAATAATTAAAATTGCAGCTCTCAATTAACTTATACTCAATGATTACCTGCAATGCAGTTATATAATTGATTATAAGGAATTTTAACGAAAAATTCTTGGTACTATTCATTTTAACGAAAAACCACATTTTTACACTAAAAAGTCAATCTTGATACTATTCACTTTACCCTTTATTTTGTTCTTATTGTTAAAACTTAAAGTTTTCAAGCTTTTTTCATTAGTTTTTATTTGATTCTATCACTTTAAAAACTACGTGAAGAAAAATCTACAAGGGTTCGGTTCAGCTAGTGATGTATAGAAACAAATTAGGATTCAGTTGGTTGCAATTGGTTGCGCACGCTAAATCATGTTACATTTTAGTATAACGATAAACGTTGCTACATTATGTTGTAACTCTTGAAGATCTTTCATATTCCGTAAAATGTTGTTGCTCAGTATTCATTTATGCTTTAGTTCGTATACATCTATTTTCAGTATTCAAGTTTGGTGAATGATATATAGATACATACGAAGAAAACTGCTGATAGTCTCTTAAGCTCCTTTTTGTTGGATGATTCCCAGTGACATCAGAAATAAAGCATTTAGGCTTGTATTATTTGGCGCCTACTTCCGTTTGCCTTGTTTCGTACTATGACACATGCATTTTCTATACCATTACTTCACACCGCAGTAATGACTTGTAGAGACTAGTTTAATAGATCCCTTTGTAATAGTTTAGGGAATTGGATCCCATCCTGATCCACATTGTGAGAATTCTAGGAATTCTCATATCATAGTTATTCATCGTGTATCGTACGTTCAGAATGTGGGGATTCATAGGATCCTCACAAAATGGATCCGGAGAGAATCTTCTTCCATAGTTTAATAGAGAGGAAATCAGCAGTTGAGGTACAAGTTCGGGTCGGTTGGCAGAATGCTCCAGTAGTATCAAATGGGGAAAAATGGTGTAGGTGGGCATGTCTTCGATTTCCTTTGACATTGGCTAGGCACTTACTTGCAAATTGGACGATGCAGCAACCACCGCTTATCGAATACGTTCACCACTTGGACATAGTGGTGCCGACTCACTGGTTTTACTTTTCCTCCTCTATGTAAGTCACACTATTTGGCTCTATATTTGGATGGAAGATTACTGTGTCAATAAAACTTCGGTAAATTTGTTTGATTAGAAAAACTTACATCAGGTGAAATTAGTGTAATGTTGGGTGGAATTAGAATACATGGAAAGTTCATGTGCCGATGAGGTTCGGCTACCTTTTCCTTGAAGTTTATTTGTTTTGAATATGATATGTGTGTTTGGTTTGTGTGCAAGGAAATGACTTCTTAAGTGTAAAAAACCGAGTTTTGTCAAATTAATCCTCGGAAGATGATTTGTTTAATCTCCTTTTCCTCTCATGTAAGCTATGATTATTTGTTTATGTTTCTTCATTTTTGCGATTTGTTCATGCACTTCATCAACAAGGAAAATGTAGCAAACCCAATGGGCTGGTGAAAGTAACAAACCCTACGGTTTAAATGTGTTGTGACTGTAAACCCAAAAACCCATGTCATAAAGTCATTTCTTACTTTCCCTAATACTAGATAAAGCTTGCACATCTCTATATACTAAAACTTAGTGAAGTGGGCACTGTGGATGACCAGTGGGCCGACAATTTTGCCCCTCGATTTTTCCTCTGTTTTGCCTGCTATTGCCTTCTTTGTACAGTCGACTAACTCTTCTATTTACAGAAATGCCCCTGCTTTTCTCTTTTCTTACCGTTTGTCTCACCCGTTGGCCATTTTTCTGGTTGACGGATTTGCCCCATGGGTTTTTTTTATGATTTATGATTGGTTTTGGTGGTTCCTGCAGGAAGAAGGTGGGAATTGACTGTGCCACGTGTTGTGTTCTTTTTGGGGTTTATCTTGCTTCGTTTCCGTGTTCTTTCCTTGCCTCGTTCCCTCTTCTCTGTCGCTCTCGGTTTGTTTTTCCTTTTGTTCTCCATTGTTTGCTTCCCTTTCGCACGCTTTTGTGTTTTGGTCTTCTCAACCCCGCTTTTCTCGCTTCACAGCTGCTTCATTCTCTGGACAACTCTGTGGTACGTGATTTTCTTTCCATTTTTATCTTCCTTTGTAGATTTTGTGTTAGTCTGTGAAATGGGTTTTCTTCTGTTGTGTTTTGAGAGATTGATTGATGGGTTCTTATGGATTTTAGTGTTTCGAACTCTGAGAGTGTTAGACAAATAAGGAATATGGTTGGAGTCCTTGTGTAATTGTATATAATATTATTCACTAACCGTCCTACAGCCGTCCTACCTTGTCCTACCTACACACTAGCCGTCCTACAGCCGTCAAGTCGTCCTACAGCCGTCCTACCTTGTTCTACCTACACACTAGGACGGCTACCTTGTCCTACCTACACACTTGTATCGTGTATATATATCCTTGTAATCTTGTAGAGAAAGATAATGAGAAAAAAAGCATTCTCTTCCATTTTTTCACATTCACGTATCAATAACAAATATATTTTTTAGCCTACGTACCTTTTTCTACAAAGAGGAGTTGCTCCCTGTGGAGAAGTCCGGGTTTCAGTGGGTTTTCTTCTGTTGTGTTTAGAGAGATTGGGTGATGGGTTCTTATGGATTTTAGTGTTTTAAACTCTGAGAGCAGTCGGTGCCTGTTGGGAGAGAGGTATGGGTTTCAGTTTTCAAACTAGAGGAAAAAATGGAAAATTTTGACATGGGTTTGTCAAAAATTTTGAAATAAAAAAGGCTTTCATGGGTTTTAGGTTGTGCTTCTTAATCACGGTTTATGGGTGCTGTGATACATAGTTAGGGTAATCAGTAGGTTTTATGAATTGACCTAAGAAGTAAAGCTAAATAGTTAAGTTGTCCTGCAATTTTTGTTTCTGGGTTCCTTCAAATTTATTAGTATTTTTGTATGAAATCTGCTCTTTTCGACCGGAGGCCATTGTTGTTCCATGTTAAGCACCAAAGGAACGCAACTGAATTAAAGTTATCGTTTAATTCTTATAACTATGAGAGGAGAGACATTTGCTCTAATGGAATTGATCATAAAACGTTATGGGTAAAAGTGGATGTGGTGAAAACATCTGATTTTAAATAAAATTTCCCAACTATGTTCTGTGTTAGTCTTTTTTTCTGTCTTTCTCTCTCTTTATATATAAATATATATTTAAGTATTGATGAATACGTGTGCACACACACATTCTAAGGTTAAAATTTGACTTCTTATAAAAGATATGGTTTCCTCCTGAAAGTTATGACTAAGAGAAAGCAGAGTAAAAGAAATAATTATAATCTACAGTCTTGGTTATCAATTGGGTAAATGTAGGCTTCTCTGTCTCTGTAAATTTGTATTGGTTTTCTGTTTTAGGTTGATTTAATTAATGGGGTCTGTTTTTGTTTCGGATTAATTTGGTTGCTGTTAAAGTAATCAAACATTGAAAGCTTGGAACCAGTGATCTTTCAAAGAGGTTGGTTGTTTTCATTTTTGTCTTTTTAGTTGTATAAATGTGGTAATATGGTTGGTTGTCTACATTTATAATTGCAATGTTTTGTTCTGTTTCTTTTAGTTTAACTGTTTTGTTGACTGTTTTTTTTTTTTTTTCAAATATGTTTTGCAATCCGGTGGTTCATAATCAGTTGTGATTATTAATTTTTCACTATGGCTGAAAAAATTATAAATGATGGGAGAACAGATGGTATAAAACGAAAGTAAAATATTGATGACACGGATTGTAATGCGGTTTTAGATTTTGACAATCGGTCCAAAAAAATGTGTAGAATGAATTGTGTACAAGACTTTGAAAATGTTGTTCCGTATGCGGTTAATGCAACTCTTTCGCAAAATTTGTTGGTTGAGAATCGTTGTTCATCTAGCAAGGCACCTGTTAACAGTGATGAAATGTTGAATCCTCTCTTGCTTAAAAAACAAGTGTACACACGTGATCAAAAAGGCAAAAACATTGTTAATTTGTCAGATAACATTGAAAACAGAGCATCGTGTGCTCAAGGTCGTGTTCTCATAAGTAAGGGTGAAGCATTTTTCCAAAAAAATAGGACTGGTACGTTTCAAATTCGGTTATTTCATGTTTATGTTTAGGATTTGTTTGATCACGTGTTGTTGCTAATCTTTTCCTTTTGTTTTTATTTCTTTTTCTTCTTCTTCTTCTCTTTTTTTTTTTTTTTTTTTTTTTTTTCTTTGTGTGTGTGTAGGTGTTGTGAAAGATTATGTGGACTTGGGTGATCAAAATTATAGGTGTGTACATTGTGGTGCATATTTTTGGTTGAAAGAATCTCTCAAACAAAGTTGGAAAAAAATTGAACCTGTTTTCACTCTTTGTTGTCAAGAAGGAAAAATTAAATTTTGAACCTCCAAAACCAACGCTAACTTTTTTAGATTGCTTGCTTTATCCAAATGGAGGTAAAACAAGTTTATCTTTTCGAGAAAATATTAGAGCTTACAACTCTATGTTTTCATTTACTTCTATGAGAGCAAAAGTTGATAACTCAATTAATGATATGGATCAAGTCCTTACATTTTTAAAATTAATTGTCAAGTTTGTCATTTAATGGGATCTCTTTTACCTATTGGCAATGAGTCTCCAAAATTTGCTCAATTATATGTTTATGATACATATAATGAAGTTCAAAATCGTCTCAAAGCTTTTAATTTTGATGGAAAAAATGGAAGGCTTGATGAAAGAATTGTTCAAGAGTTGATTAAAATGTTTGATGAATTGAATGAGTTAGTCAAACTTTTTCGAACAGCAAGAGATAAATTTGAAACTAATGGTCTTATGAATTTAAGAATGACTTTATTAGGTAGGCAACCAAATGATGGGAAACAATATGATGAACCAACGAGTGATGAGATAGGTGGTTTAATAGTTGGTGATATAGGTTTGTCTGACTCTAATAGAGACATCATTATAGAATGTAAAAGCGAGGGATTAAAGCGTGTTACAAAATTGAATCCAAAATTTATGGCCCTTCAATATCCTATTCTTTTTTCGTATGGTGAAGACGGGTATAGGCCGGATTTAAAGTGGAATCAAAATTATAAAGGGCCGAAAACAAAAAGACAAAGGGTGCCTATGAGAGCTTATATAGCTTATCAAATTCAGGAAAGAGAACCACGTTTAACTATGCTGTTAAAAGGAGGTAGACTTTTTCAACAATATTTGGTTAATTCGTATGCAACAGTTGAGGAAGACAGGTTAGATTACATTAGACAAAATCAAAAAAATTTGAGGAGTGAAATTTACAAGGGGATTTATGATGCAATATCAAGAGGTGATAATGATGCAAACAATTTAGGACAAAAAATTGTGTTATCTGCTTCGTATACAAGAAGTCCTAGATATATGATCAATAATTATCAAGATGCTATGGCTATTTGTAGAGAGTATGGTCATCTTGATTTGTTTATAACATTTACCTGTAATGTAAAGTGGCCAGAAATTATAAGAGAGTTCGAAAAAAAATCGGGTTACAAACCTGAGGATAGACCTGATATAATTTCTAGAATATTTAAAATGAAGTTTGATGATATGCTTGATTTCATCAAATCTGGACAACCTTTTGGAGAGGTTGATGCAAGTAAGTTCCACAAGCGCTTTTTTTTTATTATCCGTCTTTTTTCCAATTTTTGGTTTTTTTTTTAATTTTTTTCTATTTGTTGTTTTTACAAATAGATGTTTGTACAATTGAATTTCAAAAAAGAGGTTTGCCTCATTCTCATATGTTAATATGGTTGAGACCAAAATTTAAATGCTACACTGCATCAGATATAGATTCTATCATTTCAGCTGAGTTACTAGACAAATTTATGAACCCTCGGCTTTATGAAATTGTTAATCAATTTATGATTCATGGTCTATGTGGTTATATCAATCGGAATTCTTCTTGCACCAAAAATTTTCCCAAGGCGTATAAAAATGAGACGGTTTTTGACCCGAGTGGCTTTCCTATTTATAGGCATCATGACAATGAGACAAAATTTGTGGTAAAAAATGGAATTAAAGTTGATAATGGTTTTGTTGTTCCTTATAATTCTGAATTACTTTTAAGATATAATGCTCATATAAATGTTGAATTTTGTTGTCAATGAACACTTATAAAATATTTGTTCAAATATGTAAATAAAGGTTCAAATAGAGCACGGTTGGTTCTTCAGCAAAATCCAAATGATGAAATATTAACATATCTAAATTGTAGATATATATCACCTTATGAAGCTGTTTGGAGATTGTTTCAATATTCTATACATCACAGGGAACCTTCTGTGGAACGATTATCAGTGCATTTACCATTAGAACAAAATATTGTTTTTAGTGGTGACCAATCACTGCAATCAATTATTAATCAAAATGCTTCTGACCATACAATGTTGACAAGTTGGTTTGAAACTAACAAAATTTATGCTGAAGCACGTTCATTAACTTATGCACAAATTCCATCAAAGTTTGTATATGATCCGCTGAAAAAAATTTGGAAGCCCAGGAAACATAAAGGTTCTATAGGCAGAATAGCGTATGTACATCTTGCATCATGTGAGTTATATTATTTAAGAATGCTTTTAAATTTGAAAAAAGGTGCATTCAGCTTTGATGATATAAAAACTGTTAATAATGTTGTGCATATTTCATATCAAGCTGCATGCCAATCATTGGGATTGTTAGGAGATGATAAATAATGGATTGAAGCTTTGTCAAATACAGTGAATACAGCATCATCTGCTCAATTAAGACAATTGTTTGTCATAATTATTTTATTTTGTGATGTAGCAAATCCTCAAATTCTTTTTGAAAATTATTGGCAAAATATGTTTGATGACATTTTATACAATTTGCGAAAAGCTTTTGCAATTCCAAATATGGTTGTACCACAAGTTGAATTAAAAAATTGTGTGCTATTTGAATTAGAATTGCTTTTCAATAATGCATCAACTTCTTTAGAAAAATATTATTTACCAATGCCTGATGCAAATAAAATGTTAGAAATAAAAAATAAACTTTTAAGAGAAGAGTTAAATTATGATTGTGAAGAATTGTTAAAAAAACATAATATTTTGAAATTACAACTCAATCAAGATCAAAAATGTATCTATGATTGTGTTATAGAAACTGTGAATAAAAAAGAAAAAGGTCTATTTTTTGTCTATGGTCATGGAGGCACTGGAAAAACTTTTTTATGGGACACTATCATATGTAGACTCAGATCTGAAGGAAAAATTGTTTTAGCAGTTGCATCATCAGGAATAGCATCGTTATTATTACCAGGTAGTCGAACAGCTCATTCTAGATTTAAAATACCTTTAGTTATTACTGATTCTTCAATTTGTGCAATAAAAAAGAAAACACATCTTGCTACATTAATTGAGAATACATATTTAATTATATGGGATGAAGCGCCTATGAATCATAAACATTGCTTTGAAGCATTGGATAAATCACTTTCTGATATTTTATCACATTTACATGGTTCAGAGAATAAGATTCCCCTTGGTGGTAAACCTCTTTTATTAGGTGGTGATTTTCGACAAATATTACCTGTTATACCTGGAGGAACCAAAGAAGATATAATAAATGCTTCTTTAAATACTTCTTATTTATGGTCCCATTTTAAAAATTTTAAGTTGAAAGAAAACATGAGATTATCAAGAAGTGGAATTAGGGCTGAAGAAAAACAGAACATTAGTGATTTTGCAGATTGGATTTTACAAATAGGTGATGGAAAAATTAGTGATATAACAGATGAAAATAATTTGAATGATAAAGACACATCTTTGATTAAAATACCAACAAATTTAATAGTTCATTCTTCTGGAAATCCAATTTCTTCCATTTTTTTGGTGACTTATCCCAATTTTGAAACTTCTTTTACCAATTTTGATTATTTAAGAGAACGTGCTATTATAACACCTCGAAACACAACTGTTACAGATTTAAACAATTATATAATTGAATTGTTACCTGGAGAACAACATGTGTTTCTAAGCTATGATTCATTGTGTTCTTCCAATGGGAATGTTGAAAATTTAGAAGCATAATATCCTATTGAATTTTTGAATAAATTAGACTTCAATGGTCTACCTGCACATAACTTGACTTTGAAAATAGGAATGCCAATTATGCTATTACGAAATCTGAATCAAACTTTGGGTTTATGTAATGGAACTAGATTAGTTATTACTCAATTATTTAATAAAATTATTGAGGCTAAAATACTTACTGGAAACAATGTTGGTTACAAAGTTTTCATACCAAAGATCACTCTTGCAACAATTGAGAATAAGTGGCCTTTTGTTTTTAAAATACGTCAATTCCCAATTAGACCATGTTTTGCAATGACTATCAACAAAAGTCAAGGACAATATTTGAGACAAGTAGGATTATATCTTCTTGAGTCAGTTTTTACCCATGGTCAGCTATACGTTGCATTATCTAGTGTAACATCAAAAGATGGTCTCAAAATTTTGATATCTCACGGAGAAAAGGATGTTAAAAATTATACTGCAAATATAGTCTTTAAAGATGTCCTTCAAAATTTACAGTCAAATTGTTAATTGTTATGCTTACCTACGCTTTGTCTATACACAATGAATTATGTGAGCAGGCCAAAGATAATGTACAAAACAAACATTAAACTTAGGTATGTTTTAATACATCTTTTATTTTTTTTTAACTTTGCCCACATTATAGATTCTAATTATTTCAGCTTTATAATGTGTTAGAGTGTTTCATATCTGCATAGAAACACTGTTTAAATTTTCTTCCATTTTGTCTCCACATTGATTTACTCTCTTTGGATTTTTCCCGTTTTCTTAAAGCATTTTTGTATTTCTTATTCAATTATTCAATAAATTTCTTTATTAATGATATTATGCAACGAAAATGTTATGTTTTTAAATTATTCAATTCTTGCTTGAACAATACATCTACATTGTCGACATTTGGTATACTTTCTCTCTGATTATGTAACCGTCTGGATTTAAATTTATAAAATATGTGTATAAAAATACTACATTTACTTAAAAACATGTGAATGCTAATCTCTTTTTTTCTCCTTACTAGGTAGTCAGCCTGTTGAATCTCGCTTACTTGCACAGTTGATCACCTACTTTGTTTCATATGGAGGTACATTCCCATAACAATCAATAGTTTATTTAAAAAATTATAATTTATTGCTTTTTTCATATATGTTTGCTGCTTAAATTAAGTTTTTGCTAACCCTTCTCTTCCGAGGAACTGGTTATTACTGATATATATCTGCAATGTCCGCTTTTCACCTGGTCTCAATACACGATTAACTACTTCCTTACTCATAAATGGATTTAGTTGGACATCCAAAGGTGTTATCAAAGATGTTGTAACCAAAATTGTTAAATCTATATATCCAACATTCTTATTATTGGTTAGATAGGTTAAACAATTGTACAATTCATATTATCTTCTTCTCCTCAATCAAGGGATATCGCGAAATATATCTATGGTTAAAACATCTAGATTCATACTTTTGGATGTCCATCTTAAATCCTTAAAATGAATAACTAGGTAGTTTATCATCTATTTACAATAGGTGAAAAGAAGAAATTGTTTGTTTATATATTGATAATAGTCAGTTCATCTGAAGAGAAAACATGGACATGATGGTGATGCCGCAAAAAATCAAAGCACAAACAACTCACTGATTCATATCTCTGTATACCACAGAGACACTAAATAAGGCATATCTGATCCATCTCTGAACATCATTTGTTACTATTTTTACAATTAAAAAAAAAACATGATTCACTTGCATCGCTTTCTACAACATGTTTCACATTTTCAGTTCATTATAAATAATGCTACTTACTTTGGTTACTTTTCTGTTACATTTATATCCCTCTACATTTTTTTCTGCGTTGAAACACCTTTAAACCAATGTTGAACAACGATGGCTCCTCTAAAACCCAACTCCTTACGTTGCCTGATCAAGATTTTGCCCTAATTTCCCATTGATAATTTTCTTTTTTTGGTTATTTCCCATTTTTAACCGATAGGTCTTTCTACGAACTTGCTGTGTACAAATTTTTTTTTCCTTCTCTCTACACACTATGGATTTCTCTCATTTAATTACAGTATCATGTGATTACAACTTTTCCTGTAGTTTTTAAAATCTCTGACAATAAATTTATGTCACTATTGACATTCTACATCTCTCTCACTTCCAAAAATTACAAGGTATGTTATCATTCCTTATTATATGCATATTTTTGATGTCGATAATTTTAACAAACATCCATTATGTCACCTGTATCCAGCTAAAAAACCTGGAGTTATATAAAAACACAAAACTACACTATAACAAATGAACATACTTTAACCAGCTCATTTCCACGTTCATTCGTGTAATTAAAATGTTGTTTCATAACAGGTTTGACCCTAATTTTTTCGTTGCGTTATAACAATGTAATTCTTGGTTGCACAAACTACGAGGTATGCTCCGACCTATTCTTTAACCAACATTATAGAATCCATGTTCTGTTGAAAAATTTCAATATTCTGTGATGGAAAAGGTTATGATAAATTGCAAGGTAGAAATTCTTTTATGAGTTCTTCAGCTGATTTGGGGCATGTTTCTTTACGAGCTTAATTTCATCTAGAAACAAATAGTGTTTAGAATCACCAAGTCGTACAAAAAGTATTTTAAATTGTTTTTTAACCAATCTATTGCCAACTTTTCCAATGGGTTTCTTATTTTATTTTCCATAATTTTGCATGAAACCAAAGCCTTTCCATGCTCAAGAGTTAATGTGTGCTTAAGAATTAATCTGTTTTGTTTGATCATTATGTTATAATACCATATGTGGTTGCAAGTTTGAAAAATGTAGGGAAACAGATCAGTTATGAACAAATTAGCATGGTTCATCCTAATGCTATATAAGTTAGGTTCCTGATTTCTTTCCTCATTTCTTCATTGGTGATTTGTGTTTTCAGTGACTTTCCATTCTTGGGTAATAAGTTTTTGTCAAGAAAATGTGTTCAGTTCTTTTTTTTCTTTTTTTTTTAAAAAAAATTTATGTTCTATCTGGTTCTGTGTCATGTGATTCCAGTGTCATATGATTAGAGGTTCCAAAAGAGAAACATTACTTCTTTTATTTGGTCAGAGGAGGGGTCATGAAGTTCTGTTCAATTTTGGTTTTTCCGATGACTTAGGAAGAAATTATGTCACTATTAATATTGCAGGTGTCCAGCTTGCAGAAATTACAAGTTATGCTACAATCTATACTTCTTAGGTTGATTTGATTCAAAATCAAAATTGGTTTTTCCAATGGCTTAGGAAGAAATTATGTCACTATTAATATTGCAGGTGTCCAGCTTGCAGAAATTACAAGTTATGCTACAATCTATACTTAGGTAGATTTGATTCAAATTGATATATTTCGGTGAGAAAAAAAAATTATCTTTTTTTTTAGTTAAGAACTCTTAGAACTTCAAATTTGTAAAAGATGTGAATATTAGAACAATGACAATAGAACCACTTTTATCTTTTCTTTCAGTTAAGAACACTTAGGATTTCAAATTTGTAAAAGATGTGAATATTAAAACAATGGCAATAAAACCGCCAATCCATATGATTGTAAACAGATTTCAACATATATCTAAATAGTATTACATATCGTATGTATTTAGAACTTTTCGCATGTTCTATACAGTTTTAAAACCCGCAGCAACACGCGGGCACCGTTGCTAGTTATATATACTAAAACCCAGTTGGGTTCCGGCACTGTTCAGAAATAATGTCCGACGGATCTGCCTCTTGCTTCTCTGCTTTCTTCTGTTTCTCTCGCTTGCTTCGTGCGTTGGAGAGACCCTTATTGTTATCCTTCTTTTCTTCGGGATTCTTTCACTCTTTTGCCACGTGTTGATCATCCTGGGTATCTTTTTTTTCCATTCTGACTTCCTCTTTTATTTTATTTTTTGTGTCGCCATCCGACTCTCTCTTCAATTCCAACGTTTTATCCTTACCTAATCCACACTAACAGTAATGGTACATGCCTTCCCACCAAAAAATAATTAAAAAACCTTACCTCATCACACTTGGCAGCAATGATGCATGCCTTGCCACCAAAATATAATTAAAAAAACAAAAATCTGGAACATGTTTGCCCCTGTTTGATGCCAACTTGCCCGTTGCTTTTCTTCCTTGGCACAGCCTTCCCATGCGTTCTCCACTGATTTGCCACGCGTCGATCATCGTGGATAAGTTCTCTTCAATTGCATCTCTCCAAATCTCCTTCAGTTTCCAGTTGCTTTCCTTTTCTCAACCTTTGGTTTCCGATCTTCTCATCTTTCTCATTTTTCTCAGCCAGATCATCTGTGCAAATTTCTTGCGTTTAAAACCCTTGGAAAAATAATAGTTGTTGCATCCTCCGTTTAAAATCCCTGGGTCAGTACTAATTTTGTTGGTTTTTGGATTTTATCAGGGTGGAATAACCTCCAAGGTCCACCTCTGTTTGGTGGTGAGTTTTTTTAACCTTTAAAGTATTGCTATTTTAATTTTAATTTTTGTAGTTTTCCATGTTCAAGTGGGATTTTTGTATGAATTTTTTTCCTTCTAATTCTGGGTGTTTTTTTTATATCGTTAGATCCGATGTCTGGGTGTATGATTTGTTTGTGTTTTTCGTTTCAGAACACGATGCTCTATGTTTTTTGGAATTTAGTTTTTTTAATTTTTGGTGTTTTGTTTATATCCTTGGAACTGTTGTTTGGTTGTATGATTTGCATCTCTTTTTTTGTTTCAGGACACTTTGCTCTTCGTTTTTCGGGGCTTCTATGTGCAACTTCGAAGCCGTTTATGCTCAAGGTAAATAATTTCAGTTTTTTCCTTTTAGCATTTTCTGCGACAAATTTTTTTTTTTTATTTTAAATATTGTGAATTTGTGTTTTCTATAGTGTGACAGTCGAATATGTGGGAATTATATATATATATATATATATATTTTTTTTTTTTTATATTTTGGTGTCTTGTAGGGTTTTATTCTGGAGCTTGCAAGCCATTTTTGGGTCAGGTATATACTTTGTCTCTTTGCTGTTAAATTTATTTTTTATTTGGGTTTTTTGATTGTTTGTGGTTCAATTTTCCCTGAAAATTTAAAAAGAGAGGAATGGTCATGATTAATTTTTCCGTATTGAATGTCAAATTATCAGTGTATAGATACAAAAAATGATTTCAGTGTATGTAGGCAAGATAAAATTTCTATGTCAAATGGTGAAGTATCACGACTTGGTTTCCAGTTTTAATGTTCTTGATACCTTATTGTTGATAAAACTAATTTGGTTTTGCAGACCATAATTTTTAAGCAACAAAATTAAGCTGGAAATTAAATTGAGGTATGAATGCTTCCACTTATTCAGGTTATTCAATTTATATTTTCCTTTATTGGATTTTATTTTTTAATGTTGTTTGATAAAACTAATTTGGTTTTGTAGATTAAGATTTTTAAGCAAGAAATTCAATTGAAATTGTAATGAATTTGCAAATTTGTCCAGTATATCTGACATTCGTGGTTCCATATTCACTTTACCTATAACTATTGAATTTTCTCTCTTGACTGGATGGATTTTTATAGTTTTCAAGATCTACAGTTGCAATGCCTTTGATGGATAAAACACAGCGGACCCAGCTACTCTTATAGAGCTTCTTTAGCATCGTAAGTTAAAATTGCATATCATTTTTTTTTGTTTCATGGAATTCATTATGTTTAATAGCATACCAATTATGTGATACCAATTATTATCTTAGCAGTTTCTAACAATTTGTAAAGTACGGATAAATGTGTAGAAGTTTGAATTATACATATGAAAGTTTCATCTATTATACTCTTTTACTAATTTTTGTTATACAATCAATCATTCACAAGTAATGCTATTCAGAGTGGTTCAAAGAATTTCAAGAGCTTCATTCATTCAATTTATGCTTTTCATGTAAAAATTCTTTCAATAAGTTCAAACATCTTTCGGTGTAGATAACATTAACATTCTGTAACAATATATTATAGCTTTGAAACATTTTTTTCATACGATTTTTAATCCCGCAGCAATGCGCGGGCAATATTTCTAGTGCATATATAAAAAGTAAAACAGAAAGTATTGTATAGAAATGTAATTTTTATTTTATTTTATATTTTTTAATTAAAGATATTACCATGGCAATGTGGGTGATGTTTGAAAAATAAAGAGAAAAAATTGATTATCTATATTAAAGGGACGAGGAAGTGAGTTAAGCCTCACAATAGATTAACATTAATGCAATTGAAATTCGTCTTTGATAAAAATCGAATTTAAAACTTCTTTTTGAAAATAAAAACTATCAGATCGTAGTACTAAAGGGTTTCATTTTATTGACAAAAGAGAATCTTGTTAATAGGAGTTCGGATTACCTTCTAGAATCCATATATTCATCTTTTTCGTTTTTCCTCTGCATCTCTTTCCGTTTTCCTATTGAATTTTCCCCGGTTGCAACTTGCAATGTTCCAAGAATATCGTCACTCAATAATCCGCCACGTTGACCGGCATCGACCCAAGGCAGTGATTCTCTCTTCAAAGGCCACACGTGCAAATATTAAGTGCGTGAAAAAAAAAACACACGTGGAAGTGGGTTTGGCCGCCCGTCATCGCTCGAAGTATCAGCAGGCAGTGGCTCTGCCGCCAGGAAAAATACAGAAAAAGGAAAGCGCAGAGCCGAGAGATTGCACTTCACACACACACACACACACACAAACTCTCTGGAGGGGAGAGGAGGGGAGACCAAAATATCTGGACGACCTGCCAAATCAGGACACGGAGGAACTCCAAAAAGCTTGTCTTTCCCCTTTTATCTTCTTTCTTCACTTGTATCTCGTGTTAGTGTTACAAAAGGTCGTCACATCTCTCTCTCTCTCTCTCTCTCTCTGGGGCAAGCAGTTGGCAAGGTTGAGGCTTTGGATTTCCTGGTAGCAATGAACACTCTCTGCTCATGCTATGCGCTTGGTTTTTATGTTTTTAATTTGTTTTTGTTTCATTTTTCCTATGAAAATTAAATTGCTAGAAAATTTCTGAGTTCTTGTAGTTCTTCTGTTTGTGGGGCCCAAGATCTGGATAGTTAACAATGTTCAATTCTTCTGGAGCATGGACTGTTTGATTGTGACTTTTAAGATTGGGTTTGGTTGGTGTAGGAGTTTTGAGACTCCTCTTGTCCTACATGGGACAACAGTGTTTTTTCATTAGCCTTTATATAGGCTTATTCCTTCTTCTTAGTAATTAGAACTTGAACCATTTGGAATGAGGATTGAGGTTTGGGTCACTAATTGTGTGGATTAGGCTTGATGATTATACGATAATATTAACTAATCAATTAGTTGTGTGGATAGTTTTAATTTCGAATTAAGTTTTTAATTAAATTAATTAAAAACGTTTGTATTAATAGACACTATTTTTTGGAAAGAGTTGTATAGCTTCAGATACATCCAAAAGGTATTTGAAGAGGTATGAAATAACCTATATAACTAGAGTCCTCAGTTCCATCAAAAATCATCTTTTCTTCCTCCTTGTCTTCCGTACAAAATTTCCAGAGAGTAAACACACAAAACAATTCGCTAGAGTTCTATAATCTAGTGCGGGTTGTATAATCTAGTGTGGGTTGTAGAATTAGGTAGTTGTATCCTGGTCGAGCAGACATTGTAGAACTACAAGCACACGAGTGGGACGGAAATATTGTTCGAAGGACATAACGTTTGCGCTAGCCTCTACCTTCAATTCATTCAAGTTAGTATCATCTTAATTTTTTGTTACTATAATATAATTGCATTCTGTATTGCAAGTATTTTTGAATAATAAAGCATAAGTATTTCGGTTCTGTATTTCTGTTATTTTATTGTTTCTAAATTGTTCTCCATCAGTTGGTTGATCTAACACCGCAGTTTGCGTGATTTTTCCTCATTTATTTATCATTTTCTACGCCTTGTGACGTTTGGCGTCGCTGTTTCATGCAAGTCCAGTAAACGAGCAGCTATTAAGTTCCAGGGTGAATGCTTGATGTTGTAGGTGAAGCTGCACTCAGTTGCGAAAGATTTTGATATCGAAAACTCTGTGGACATGTTTCGCCTCTGGAGCACTTCTCATCAGCAAGAGAACGATCCCTTGAACCATGACGCTAAGGTATTGAAAAAGTTTGAAGTTTACAAGTCTTCAAGGAAATGTGAAAAAATCTTTCTTAGTTGAGTTCATGAATTGCAATATATATGCAGATCAATGAGCTGAAGGCTGCGATTGGACCGCTATCTGGATGCAGTTTGCAGTTCTGCACTGATGCATGCTTCAGGCGGTACTTGGAGGCGCGAAATTGGAACCTTGACAAGGCGAAGAAAATGTCGGAGGAAACACTCAAATGGAGGTCAACCTATAAGCCTGAGGAAATCCGCTGGGTAAAATTGCTTTACTTTTTACAATGTATTTTCTTGGACAAGAAGACATTCCACAAGGTTAAGTTCGTTTACCCGAAGAACAAAGATAGCGTGGAGCTTATGAAACAATATTTCGACGAGGAAAATCTCCCTATTGAATTTGGAGGACCAGCCATACTAAACCATGATCACGAGGAATTCTCGAAACTAATGAATCAAGATGATGTGAAATCAGCTGCATTTTGGTGCCCCGATGACAAACTACCACATTGGGCTAATGAGCGTTCTGGAGCCGAGGTGGCTCCAGAGCCAGTGAGCCTTACACCGGCAGCCAGCTGAGTCTCCCTCCCCTACTCTCAGCGCATGATCGTGATTAAGCACCAGAATCCTCCATAGCAGGAGCTGATAACCCTAAAGTATATGAGAATAAGTGAGACGGACTAACTGGTTGAGATGGTGCTGTAAGCCTGCAAGCTACAATCCAGTGAGAGATTACCTTGCAGGCATCTGAGAGTGCCCTAGTCAGAGATTACCTTAATACTAAACATGTTTAGTGACTACATTATCATTAAGAAAACAAATTAGCATTCTGATATCTTTCAAAAAGAATTAGCAATCTGGCATTGGTTTTTTTATAAATATCTCATCAGCTGTGATGTGAGTGAGACCAATCAGACAAGGCGTAATTAAAATTCTGAAGCACTTGTTTGCAAAACCTTCATTTTTCCCCGTCTTCTTGAGCATGAGCTTGAATACGTGCACTGTTTTTCTCTCCTGATATCCGCATTTAGTCTGATAGCCCGAAATAAACTTTATTAAATCGAATTTTATTAGCTTTGGGGAAAGAGATGTTATCTACTACAACGAAATACAATATTTTACCATTTATATACTGTTGTCCAAATCAAAGACTGTTTCTCTTTCTATTACACCCTTCTTCTAAACAAACCTCTCACCAAGAGTTTATGGAGGAAACAACAGAGAATACGAAACACATAAACTGTCAGCTACACAAACAGTGCTAAGTCAAAATCTGTCGTTCGAGATGCACGTTAAATGTGGACGAGGTTAGCTGCCTTTCGAAATTGAGCACACACATTGACATCCGGATATTTAATCACACCAGGCGCCTCTTGAAAGTTCGCGTGGTCGTTTGGTAAGTACGGACCAGCAAACCGACCCCTATGCCAACTCCAAGACAAACGCCAAGTCCGATACCCACGCCAACTCTCACACCAGCATTGAACCATGAGAGTTCTCCTTCTTCACCGTCCATATATTCCGTCCTCCTCCAGTACATATTGTTGTACTCGTCCTCGTTCTCCGGCTTGTAGTTTCTGTACTCTGCTACCTGCAATTCAAGAAAGGTTAGGGGATCTCAAAACGTACAATCCCAACCGAAGAATAAATAACAGAGATATGAACTATAACAAATGAAAGATGCTATGATGACTAATTATACCCCTTGGTAAGTTAACCTTTCCTTCTTTCCGCAAGAGATAAAACCAACAGAACAAATTCATGAATGCCATCTTAACCAGGGTAAATTAAGACAACCATCGTATCAAGATCCCAAAGATAATAAAACGGTGCCAATATAACCTTCAGAATATTGTCTACAACAACCCAGCAGAAGGTGGGGCCTGCAACGACGGACCATCCCCACGTCTCGTTGGATGAGTCCAATGTAAGTTTGACTCCAACAAGGATATGAAAAAGAAGACAGAACGGGCTAATTGAATACAACCCCATCACTTGAAAACTGTGCCCTACCCATAATACCCATGTGCCATAAGATAAGATTCTGTTTGCAAGTCCTTGTTTAACAAGAAGTACGTTTCAGGGCAGGAAGCACAGGCAGGCAGCTGCAAGGCTCGTACGAAAGAGTTAACAAAGGCAACAATTTCACCATACCGCTATATAGTTTTAGATCACTGGGGACCTGCCTCCCGAAAACGACGAAATTGTTCAACACCTCATCTATCAAATGAGTCCTACAGTACACTGGTGTGCGGGAAGCACCGGTTTTATGGACCACTAGATTCGAATGTTTGGATTAAAGCACGTAAATCTAGTCATCCACGGAAGGAGACACCGATGCATTGTCCAACTTTTGATATCAAATACTGCAATGACTACAAATAAAGCTTCAAATAATTTTTCGCCTTATAACAAACGAAAACTGACCCTAGAGTGAGGCATTAGATGAACACAGGCGCCTTACAACATGCATATACCGACACAACCCTAAGATACCAGATAAATGCAACTATGGCAAAGCACTGAAGTGAACATAACAAAATTTGAGTTTCAATCTTTCAATACAAAAAAAAAGTTTCAATATGTACCTCCATATCAACTCCAGGAGAGACATCTTTCTGGCATTCGGTTGTCTCGTACTCTGGTATTGCACCCAACGTGCTCTTCCTATTGTGTTTCTTTCTAAA